AGAGAGAGAGAGAGAGAGAGAGAGAGAGAGAGAGAGAGAGAGAGAGAGAGAGAAAATGAATTAGGTTGATGTGTATATTTTAATGTTTAGGCTAGCTATATTTCTCATATTGGTTATTATCAAGTGCTATCAAAATTCATTGTGCTTTTAGGTAGACATTTTATAAAGTACACTATGAACAAATAAAATATAGCTTCTGACTATCCTACATGTAACCAACAGTATCAGTTTCTAGTTCCCAGAATAGTGACATAGTTTTTATTGCTAATCAAACTGGGAAAGCTCAACATAGGGAGGGGTATCTAAGAGTTTAGAGGTGGGAGTATTTTTGTTTCCAATAATGAATGATCTTACTCCCCCCCCCCCCCGGCCCCAATGCCTTGATTATCAGGAGCGCTGGGCTAGTCTGGGAGACAGCTACTGTAGCTGAGGCTTTATCATTCATTGCTCTTCTGGCTTGTTGGTGCATAGCTTGCTTCCTCATCTTTATTATAATAGGGTTTCCACAATTCTATCTTACCCCAGAGAAAGAGCCTGAGTTACAGATTTCCTCTGAGACATCTACGGTGTTTTCCTGTATTGGCCATCTCTTATGGTTTTCCTTTGGGGCCATCTGCTGAGACCACAGCAAGGATACAAGTTTAGATTTGGGGACTGTATTTTGAGACACACACTGATAAGCAAGGGAACAGGCAGCACAGGCATAAAAGATGTTGAAATGCCTGGAAATGATATAAATAAAATACAAAGAAGAAGAAAGGTTTAATTTGGTCAGTGGGAGCCAGGTTGATGTCTTTAAATGATTAAACATCTGTCATGTGCCCAGGTAAGAGCTCTTGCTTGAATTATTCTCATGCCTAGACTGAGGTCAATAGGAAGAAGTCACATAATGGCAAATTCTAAGTTATGGGAAGTGAATTCTCTGGAAGCAGTCTTTGATCACTCACCTGTCTAACCAAGGGGAACATTCTTATTCAAGAACACAGTAGGAGAAATACCACTGAATTAAGGAGAACATTAACCCACAGATTTGCCTCTTGAAAATTAAGAAATGGAAGTGATCTCAGAAATTATTATTGTAGCTTAGGAAAATGAGGTGCAGTTAGCAGTTTGATTTAGCTGGCTCACAGTGCTTGCTCATGGAGTGGTTGATGGAGCCCACATGTTCAGTCATTCTCGGCTCACCACAGGCTGTTCTCTCTAATGGCTCACATGCAGCTCAGCTTCTTTGACATTACACCTCCCCCAAGGACATCAGATGAGTTAATGGGGAGAGGAAGAAAACTCTGCCAGGCTTTGAATGATTTACTCCCTGGAAGCTCTTTACAGGAAAAGAATGCCATTTACACTTGTCTTTTCCACCAATCAGATAAATCCTTTCCTTTGTAGAAAGAGGCACAAGTTTCACAGACTGTGTCAGCAGTCTCTACTGTGGTCTGCATTTTTGGGGTCCAGATGTGGTTCCACATCCTCTGCTTCCTCCCTCTCAGGGCATCCAGACAATGGCTGCGCACTGGGCTGGAAGGATGAAGTAGAGCTGGGAACTCCCAGATCGGACGGAGTTCTATGGGATCCCACTCTGGCTAGGAGTGGGTACCGGAGGCAGAAGGTTAGGGGAAGGCTTTTTTTCTGAGGATCTTAATGTTACAGCTTTTTAGGTCCAGGCCTTCTCTGATGATCTTCAGTGAAACATCTCTGAGACATGATCTTAGCTTGTGCTTATTTCTTTATTCGGGGTGAGCTTGTACACACACACACTTTGTTCAGGGTGAACCAAGGGTTGATTATATAGATTTGGGGAAAGGGTTGAGAATCTCCAGGGTGGGCACAGGTCATTGGCTGAAGGCTGAGGTACTGGGATGTCTCATTAGCTTGTGGAGGCATTCCAGGAATCTCAGGTGCTTGCTGATTGCATTTTTATCAGGAGAAAGGAAGCTGAACCTGTAATCTAACCAAGGCTAGGTGCCACATTCCACAGGTTGAGGGTATAGAAGACAAGGTGAGAGAAGGAGAAGCTCTACCGGTAAAGGAGTTGGCCATTTTGACTCTGTCCTCTCATGTTGCATCCTGCTGCTCCAGGAATGTGAAGATGTACCCGGACAACTTGGGCACAGAGAATGTAAGACATATCAGCAGTGACCGCCATCTTTGTTTGGCACTTCTTTTAACAAATGCTTTGTAGAGACTCCAGCATGTTGGTGCAAACCCATAATCCCAGCACTCAGGGGGCCAAGGCAGGATATTGCTGTGAATCTAAGGCCAACCTGAATTACATAGTAAGTACCAGACCAGCCATAGGTACCAGACCTGATCTTCACCTTCCCACAGTACTTTAGAGCATCTGTAAAGGTCAAGGTACCAGGCTAGACATTCCAGGGAAGGAAGATCTAATGGGGGAAACTGGGAAGAGTCTAGGTACATCCAGTGGGGTGTGTAGAATTAGATCCCAGGCTAATGCAGGCCAGCAATCTATTTGTTCATCATTTGTTCTACAGATGTTGACTGTGTGTCTCCCTGTATCAGGTGCTGTGCTTGGAACTGGGAGTCTAACAAAAAAAAATGGTTCTAGTGAGATACAACAGCTAAACATATAGTAATATGCAAAATATAAGTTTTTCTTTTTTAAAAAATAGATTTTTTTCAGACAGTATATTCTATTGACAGTTTCTCTTCCCCCAACTTCTGCTGTCTCCCCACTCACCAAATCCATGTTCTTTCCTCCTCTCTCTCATCAGAAAACAAGCAGGCATCTGAAAATAAACAAGTAAATAAATAACATGATAAATCCAAGCAAAATAGAACAAAACAAAGAAATGGGGGGAAAGAGCCAAAGAGAAAGCATAAGAAGCACAAACTGATGTAGAAACACAAACACACAGAATTTCCTCAA